TTATATTATTTTTGAATGTCACTATATATAAGATAATATATAAATATTAAAATTATAAAGTTTTGATCTGATTTTTAGTAAATTATAATTAATTTATGCTAATTCAATTATAAATTAGAGAAATAATCATTATTTTTATCTATAAATATAAAGTTATAAAGTTCAAGCTAATATAGAAGCTAAATTAAAATCAAGTTAAAATTTAATTTACATTTCTAAATAATAAATTACAAATTTATTAGCAAATAATAAAGTAAAATAAATATAATAATTTGTCAAAATTATAAAAAATTTTATATTTATTTAATAAATAGCTTATATTTTTAATATATAAGAATTTTAACTAGAAAATTAATATTATTAAATATAAAATTTTACTTAACTAGTATAATTAAAATTATAATTTACAAAATATAATTTGCTTTCTTAATTAATTTTAATAATATAATATTTTTTCTTAATTAGATAAATTATAATTAATTATTAAAGTTATATTATTTATAAATTTAAATATTATTTTGATAAAATAATAAATTTTTAATAGCTAAAAAATAAAGTTGAAGTAAAAAAAAATTAAAAATTTAAAAATCTTAAATAAATCCAAAAAATAAGAATTTAATTAGAACTTAAGTATTGAAAAAATATCAAAAAAAATAATTTTATATATAATCTTTATTTAAGTTTTTAAACATTTTAATAACTTTGAATTATTATTATATAATATATAGAAGTAAATTTATCTGATTAATTAATATAACTAAATTATTTAATAATAATTTATATATTTTAAAATATTTCTTAAGATTATTAAAAAATTTATTATAAAAGTTATCAATAATTTTAAATAATATTGATATTTATTATAAAAAAAATTTTTAAAATTAATATACTTTATTTAAAAAATATTTTTTTAAGATTATTAAAAAAATTATTATAAATATTATTTATAATTTCAAAAAATATTAATATTTATTATATGAAAAAATTTTAAAAGAATTTTAAATTGATATACTTTATTTAAAAATAAAAATATTATTTATTTACTAATATTATAAATTATATATAATTATTATATACAAGAAATAGTTATTTATTTGAAAAATAATAATTAAATATAATATTTTTAAAATTAAACTAATAATATTTTATCAAATTACTAATATACTTTTTATTATCAAATAAAATATATATAAATATTAAAAAAGAATTATATAAGATATTAAATTATAAAAAAATAAATACTTAAAAATTATAAGATATTAAAAGAAAAAACAAATAAATAAAAAAATAAGGAATAAAAATAATATAAGTAAAAGAAAATAAAAAATAAAAGAATTAAATAATATAAAAGTTATTATACTTATAAAATTAACCATATCCGTACCCAGATCAGAAAATGGTACTGATGAGACAGGTGTCGTTAAGTACTTCCTGGGACTTTTTTTGTCAACATAGTAATTTCAGTTTATTCACGCTCCATCATTATTTTTTTCAGTTGGAGCTTGTTGTGATAATTCAAGATAATGATCATATTGATTCCTCTTTTATAAGTGATCCAAAAAAAATGCATTTCTGAAGATCCGTTACTAGGTTCATCAGATTCACTGTTGGATTCATTGATTCATTGTTAAAATGCATGTATAATCAACTATATGTGCATGTATTACGCACAATGATAATATTGATACGCATTATACTGTACATAAACTGTATATACACTGTATAGGATATTGAAGAACAAACACATGTATCTGATCTTTAATTTTCGTATAGGGCATTTCCGATATCGAGATAGTAAATGCGCATAGGTCGCAGTACAAGGTAGTAAGTATATTTAGTTCTAATATCCGTTGAGTAAATAATTATGTTGTCTAGATAAATGCTTGGGCTTACTAAGAATTTCTTCTGCTGTTTGCATATTTAAACTTGTTTCAATAACTCGCAAACGTTATATCGTATTACATGTACTTGTTAATTGGTTATACTTCCATCAATCGATATTTTACACGAATAGTAATAGGTTTGTAATCAATTCGTGGAACAAATAACAACTAAAAATTGCTGCTGTTTAACTAATTGGATAATCGAATATTTATCAATCAAAAATCATGATTGCTCACTTGACAACTCATCTCTAATACGAGATGTATGTATATCATGATTTCGATCATCAATGGTCGTTTATCCTTCACAATTTCGCACATAAACATCCCAACCTATAAATATCTGCTGCGTTAATGCATGACTTTCTTTTTAGTATCTCGGGATTCATATAAGGAATTTCTTGGTTAGATTTTTCTATATTTGTTGCAAGTCCAAAATCATCAATTTGAGGAGTATTACGCGCGTTATTAGAAGTTATCTTTTTGATAATCTCATATAATAGGCGCATTTAAGAGCAGTCTTAATCTATTTTTGAAAATTTGATTGTATTATAAAACAAAAGGCTAACCTTCACTTTAAAATATTTTCATTTTTTACCTCATTTATTGTAGTCTGCTTTGAATTGTGTAATGATTACTACACAACTTATATTTCTCCTCGTTTAAATATATTTTCTTCTAAATGCAACTTGCTCGGACCAACTTTTTGGCATCGTGCATTTAGAGAACAATAAGAAATATTGCATTTATGGAGGTTAAGTATATATTTGGGCCAGACTTTGAGCTTGCATTTAGAGAGGTATTGCATTTAGGGAGGCTGCATTTAGGGAGGTTTGACTGTATCTGGGATTATGGCCTAATGAATGGTCCATCCAACCATAAATTGACCCTAAACCCCCATATTCAACGTTTGTAGATCTTTCAAAAGGAATCTATTCGAAATAATTTATTTTCGATATATCATGACATTCTTTTATTATATTGTCGATATCTTTTATTTTACTAGAGCAGTAATCATTAGTACATTTACTAATTACATGTACATATATTTGAGTTCATTCATAAAATGTCAAATTACTTAAAAATGAATGTGAGTTCATTCATAAAATGAAAAATTACTTAAAATAAATGTGAGTTCATTCATAAAATGAAAAATTACTTAAAATGAATGTGAGTTCATTCATAAAATGCTAGTGTTCAGATGTAATGCACTGTATGTTTTGCCACATCATGTAATGTCACATTAAGGGATGCATCAAGTAATACATGTACATGTATTTAAACAGTGATCCTTTGATAAAAATCAATTTTTTCACTTGCGATTGATGCAATAATAATTATTCGTGACTAATTACCTCGTAAATACAGTATTCATTTTTCAATGAGAAATGGGTGCCTGTTGCTCTAGACGAAATGATGAAAATGATGGTTTTAGATTTCGTTATATTGATGGTAGACGGTATCATAATATTTCTAGTTCGGTATATATAGGTGCGAACGATGACGAAGAGGCAGATCGATTAATACGATATCATGAATGTTAGTAATAATTTGCTTTGAGAGAATAAGCAAATTCTCATTTTTTATTTTCAATTCACCTTATTTTCTTTATAAGCGGTGAAAGAAATCTGGGGAGGTTTGTTCCATTCACCGGTTGAAGAGAAATTAGCACGGGGAGCTAGAGTACTTGATGTTGGGTAATTTGTTAATTATATTTTTTTTGATCCATTTTTAATTAAATTTATGCATAACACTTCTAAAAGTATCTTAATTTAGATGTGGAACAGGAACATGGCTTTTGGTAAAAATTTTTCTATTTTTTAATATACTGTAGCTTGCTAGAAATTTATTAATTTATAAAAAAATTCTAGGATATGGCGCGAAATTATCCCAACTCTAATTTTGTGGGAATAGATTTTTCACCAATTTTTCCAAGTGAAGGTCTTCCGGAGAATGTTATATTCGTTGATTGCAATTTTCTGGATGGCTCACCTTTCGAAGATTTCTACTTTGATTTTGCACATCAAAAATTTATGGTTGCAGCCTTCACAGAAGAACAATGGAAAGAAAAAGTGATCCCTGAATTGTTACGAATAACCAAACCAGGCGGATGGATTGAAATAGTGGAAGGTGGTAATCTCAAATCTAAGGGAAATGCTACACAGCGTGTTGCGCAGGGCAGTAAGTATTGATTAAATTTGAAATAAAATTAAAGTAACGTATTCTAACTCGTAACTTTCTTTAGTCGACCATTACTTTAAATCAAAAGGAATGAATTCTCAAATCGGCGAAGCTATACCGCATTTTCTTGAAAACACGAATGCTTTCTCAGAAATCAAAAACGAGAAAAAATGTGTTACTTTGGGTAAAAAAGGTGGTAATATTGGACAAGAGGTAAATTTCAAAAAAATTATCTGATATTTTATAAAATATATTTTAAAGGGTCTCATCATCTCAACCAATCTCTTATTTGGTTTCTTAAATTGTAAGACATTAAAATTTTACAGAAAAGTTTTTAGCTCTGTCAGAATCTTTTTGTCTTCCTCGATGAACATCACGCCTGAACATTATGATGCACTTGTAGAAACGATTCCTATTGAAGCAGAAAGATGTCATTCATACATTAATCAGTATCGAATTTACGGTCATAAGAGGACGGATAATATTTAAATAGCATCAATAATCATCAAATTAGGAAAATGAATCCAGAAGACCCTATGTTTCACATGATATGGGTTGGTGCAAAAAGATTTGTACCTCAGATAAATATTAATAAATTATTTTTTTAAAATAAAATTTTAATTCTATCTTATTTGATTAAGTTATTAGGTATTGGGATTTATTTAAATGTAAAATTTTTATTATATATCTTTTATAAAAAAATTTTTACTAATAATAACTTTTTTCAATTATTATTTCTTAAGGTTTAATATATAAAATTTGATTAAAATTAATATAAAAATTATATTTTAATTACAAAACTTTGAACCTTAATATCCTGATTCAATTTTTATGAAATTTAGAATATATATTTATCAAATCTAGAGCAATCTGCTTGTGTAATTTGAAGTTTTAATATTGCAAATTGATAGTGATAATATTTAAAACATCTTTTTGTAAAAAAAATTTTATTTTAGTTTTTTTTTTTAGTAAAATAATGCTTTATTTATTATTGAATTAAAATATAATAGAATAGTTAAAATAGTATAAAATGTTAATTTTAGATCATTTTTTTTATTTAATACAAAAAATTTATAAAGATTAGTTAAAATTTGAATGATTTTTATTATAAGCAATTATTGGTTTTTATATTGAGGTACAAATCTTTTTGCACTGACCCATACTGTAAATATCAAATTTTAAAAAATTTTAATTTGTTTGGCTAGGTTTTTGTTCAATTATTTATTTTAAGTAGCTTTATATACTGTAAGATAAGGTAAAAAGGAAGAGGTTCTTCAAAAGTGAGCCTAGCGTGAGCTGAGAAATCACAAAAACAAGAAGGCATATGTAAAACAAATGATATCGATCCGCCACATAACTCGCCTAGTGTTGAAATTACGTACCAAACGAAATATTTCAAATACCACAAACTAATTTATAATGAAGAATTTTCTAGCAGAAAATCTAATAGAAGAATATAACGAAACTAATAAAAATAAATATTATGTATCATTCGATACATAATATTTATAGAAAACAACCTGGTTGGATGGGACATTACATAAATGATATGAAGAGTATAAATTAAACGATATAATATTCCCAGTTTATTATTGAAAAGTGTTGGATACTAATACAGAAACAAGACCAACGACTGAGGAACTTCTAGACTTGATTGACTCTATCAACTATATTGAAGTTTTCATTTAAAATAATATGGAGTTGAAACCGAAAACTTTGTATTTTCAGTACTACAGCTCTTTACAACGATCAGATGAAGAAATCAAAGAGTGTTTTAAACTAGAGAGAGGCAGAAGTTCAAAAGAGCTTGACGAGGAGATGCAATTACAAAGAGGATTACCAGCTAACATTTTTAGAACCCAAATTGATATGAAATGTGAAATATACGTACTTCTATCAGTTAAGAGTGTTATTAATTGGTTAAATTGTATTTGTTGTTTTTGAACTATATAAAAACAGAAATGAAGAAAAAATGCACACGTGTTTGCATCACAAATTTGACATGTAAAAAAAGAACTAGCTATCATAACAAGTTTATTTTTCATAAAGAACGAATGGGATCTCATCTAACCATTGTTTGATTACTTCCAAATTCTTGTAATAACACGACCAATGGCAATAATAATAGTACTGTATATGGTCAATGCTAGAGATTTGGTAATGGATGCATTTCAGAAAAAGCATGTATTTTATGAGTAAGTATTAGAACTTTAAAAGCTTCTACTTACAGATAATTAAACTTGTAACAAGAAACTTTTAGCAAACATGTAATCTTGATAGTGTGTGATATCAATCAATGATTGAAAATAATACATACATGACCAAAAGTATTGCCCTGATTTACCACTGTACGTCGTAACCATCGATTTACATACATGTATCAAAGTTTTTGTCTCTTTTGATAATAAATATCTGTTACCACTTCGTCAGCACTATAATTTCGTTAGATAAAAAATGACGTTCACCTATACGCAGCTTAACGAAATTGAAAAAGGGAAGATTTTGCATACATGGAGACCAAAAAATGCATGGACGTGAGACCCACAAGGATACGTCGTCGCTTTATTAACAAATATAAACGAACAGGAAAAAATGAAAACGTACCACGCTCAGGAAGGCCACCAGCCCTAACAACCGCAAAATGATTTACTTACATGTAAGCAAACGAAAAAAGACGTACAACACTACGCGAAATAGTCAACAATTTAATATGAACAGATTAAATGGTGTAAAAAAATAAACATAAATCAGCTTATGATTAGGCAAAAATAATTTTCTCCGATGAAATCAGTGTTGAAGTTGGAAAGTAGTCACAGCAACCAAGTGTTTGACAGCATCCTAGAGAAAAGTTCAATGTTGATTGTTTGGTCCCTACCTTTAAAAGTGAAGAAGATTGTGGATGAACTTAAGGTCGCATTGAAGGGTCGTTATTGCATCAATGCTGTATTGAAGTCAAATGACCGATAAAATAATAAATAAAATTTAGTTTTATTTGATGTATAAGTTGACGGAAAACAAATGAATTGAATAATTTTGCATCGAGAGATACTTCTTGGGGAGAGGGTACTGTGCATGTAATTTCAACTACATGTATAACTGACATATAACATTTATGTATTTTCCAATCGTTATTTTTTTATTCATGTGCATTCATTAAACTACTGAATAAATATCCTAATCGAGTAAAATGCAGATAGCTGCTTGAAAGCAGTAATACACATGTAAACCAGTGGACAAATGTTTTTTCACATACATACACCATATGTGAGCATACAAATTTATTTTTAGCAACGATTTTGAGATAACGTAAATGAAAAACATTATTGCCTTATCGTCGCATTATTTTCAACTACATGTACTGTAATTGAATAAAATCTCGGATACTTTCTTGAAGAAATAAAAGTATACATACAGATGCAAACAGTAAAAATAAGTCTGTATACATTTTTACATGTACATGCACAAGTCATGTAATTGCATATGCCTAATAATGAAGCTTAATTGCATTTAATCCTCAAAATAATTCGATTTCTCTCAAACTGCACTGTTCTTTAATAACATAAATACATATATGTAAAATAATAGCTTTTCATAATAGTGAAAACTTATGTTGAGGTAGTTACATGCATAATATTTGTTAATATCATAAACATATAGCGATAAAATCACACAAACGCTTGTCGTTATAACAACGATATTTTTAGAGATGACACTAGAGATAATTTTATTCTATCTCAGTATAAACTAATAATTTGAGAGGATTGAAAAAAGGCTCGCAGTTTCAACTGATTACAATTCTAAAAATTTTCTAAATAATCCAAAGAATCTAAACAGTCTAAATAACGAGAGTTTTCTTTAATTGTCTCAAAATGATTTTCTCCTACAAAAATACTCTTTAATTATCTTTTTGATCTATACATCCTTCTTCGTTACTACTTCCGGAGCGAGAAATGGTGAACATTTATGAAATTTTCATATTAATAACTATTTCCATTTCATTTAGCTTATACATGTAATATTCTACGTAATAATTGTTTAGTAAGACGTGGTGGCCTTGGATGGGAAGAATCTACGACGACAGTCACTTCGACGGTTACTAAAACTTCGACGGTTACTAGCACTGTGACAGTTACTAACACTAACACTTCGACGGTTACTAAAACTTTGACAGTTACTAACACTGCGCCAGTTACTACTGCCTCATCTTGTCCAAGTAAATTCCTACTTTTGTGTTTATTAATCTTTTATTTATTTCTAGAATTTTAATCTTTGATTTTTTAGCTAACGAAGAAAAAGCAAACAATCAGAAAGAAAACAAAGGAAACGATGACAAAGGAAACGGTGATGATAAAGGAAACGGGGATGACAAAAAGGGGTCCTTAGGATGCTTACCACGATTCAGCCTAAGCGTCGAAGTGAATTTACGATTTTTTTGAGCTTATATTCGTAATTAAAATGATAATGTATTAAAATTACTTCAGTTATAAATATGTATGTAATTAAATCGCTTGTTGTTTTCTAAGTACTTAAAGTATAAAATATACGTTTCTATTTTTTGCTTTCACCATCAAACGGTGGTTGTTATATTTTTTGTCCATAAATTCCACAGGTTTTATTTACTTGGTTTGCAACTTTACAGGTGCATAGATATAGCATCTATGTACAAACTATATATATATATATTAATGGCTTATTAATTTTCTGTTATTTCAATAACTTGATTTAAAAATCAGAATTTCCAAATTTCCCAACTTACAAGAAATGCGTATTTAAATAGTAATAGAAAAAGGTTTTTTATTATGTGAATCGACCTTGGCCTTTTAAGCAAAAATGTTTAAGCATTAATTTACATTTGCTCTGAAATTTTTATTCAAAAAACAATAAAGATAGCATTTAAAACGGATCGTCAACGATTTCCTATTTTTTCTAGCAATATGTCGATTTTGAGAGCCCAGAAGGGCCCTGAGCAATTTATGAAAGGTAAAAAATCAGAGGTTTATAGAATTTGAAAAATCACATTTTGCGCAGTAAATATTCAAACTTCAGCCAAAAATAATCAAATTCAACCAAAATTCAGTGCTTGCTTTGCATTTTGATCTTGCTTCCTTTTTTTATGCATTGCTTGGGATCCCATATAAGATGCGAAATAGGTCAAATTTATTATTGTTTTAACGGGTGCCGCCCAACATCCCGACACCCATCTTTCCGACACTCCAACATCCGATACCCACCTTTCCCGAAATTCCAACATCCCAACAATCCACATCCCGACAACCAAACTTCCCGAAATCCAACATCCCGACAACCTAACATCCCCGACAAAGCCAACTTCCCGACATACCCAACTTCCCGACAACCTAACTTCCTGACAATCCAATTTCCCGACATCACTTTACTTTTAAATGAAGATCCGTTATTCTATCTTTGATGTTAAGATGCTAGTGGTCGATCCCTATAACCAGAAATTGGACTAGATTGTCGGGATGTTAGATTTCGGGAAGTTGGATTATCGGGAAGTTGGGTTGACGTAGTGCTTGGAAATTATTCGAATATATTCGAATAAATAAATCTTCGAATACATGTATATAATTTTCGAATATTCGATTAATTTAATTGAATAAAATTATTCGTGATATTATTTGAATACTTCTTCGAATAATAATATATGATCAACTTGTCACACGATGTTGTTAATATATGAAATTGCTCGCTAACGCAAATGGAGGATGATGATTTTACAAACTATTCTTTGACGGAACATGAATATACTTCAATTGGACATGATGAAGAATCAAATTCCTTTACTTCTGTCAGTTCTCCAAAAAGTTTAAGCTCAAAAAAATCACCAAAAAAAAAGGAAGCTACGTATAGGAATATTTCAATGTAAATTTAGAAGGAAAAGCCATATGTAATGTTCTTGATAACAATGGATGAGCTTGTTCAAAAGATTATGCTCATGGATCAATGACTTCAAATTTAATCTATCAAAACATGGAATAACTGATCCTGAATATGATGTGATAAGCATCAATAATATTAAAGCCATTATTAAATTTTTATAATCTTACTTTATTAACGTTAACAATTTTAGACAAAGATGATCAACAAATTGATATTCGTACAAGTTTTCAAAATCTTCAAAAAAATGCAAAGCAAGTCTTGAATATGAAAAAATTGGCAAATCTTGCAGAATTTATCATTGAAGATAACCAACCATTTCATATTCTACAAAGTACCAGTTTTCAAAAATTTGCAAGATCTTTGAATTCTAATTTGAACTATCATGTGACAATACAATCAAGACATTAATTACCAAAGCATATAACTGGAGTCAATCAGCTTAAAAGCTTACTCAAATCAGATTCTATTTCTGTAAGTCTAAACAACGTGTGAAATACTACTTGATTTAAAACAAGTATTATATCCACATACCAGAAAAAATTGCTTCTTTATTACAAGAAATAATTAAAGAATGGAATCTAAAAGAGAAAATAATGGCAATTGTTACAGATAATACATCATTAATGGTAAAAGCAATTTGATTATACCTGGTATTGAAAGAATTTCATGTGCTATACATACTTTATAATTATCTATTGGTAAAGAATTGACTCATCTTTAACTTCTTGAATTATAAATCAAGTATCTTTTAGACTTTTTCAATTATTCTTCAAAATAAATAGAAAAGCTATATTATGCTAAAAGTCTCAATTTTGAAAAGGTAAACTCAACAACTAATAATATATCTACAAGAAAAAACTCAATTTTTTTAGCTTGAAATTATCTTATTGAATTAAAGTATATTATTTTATATTTATTAGCATATAAATAATCAAATTTGAATAATCAAATATAGTTAGATAGAAAATGATTAGATAAAATTATGCTAGTAGCAGATGAATAGAAATTAATAAAAGTTCTTCTTGAAATACTTGAAGATTTCCAGAAATTAATAACTATCTTAAGCAAAGCTAAATATCTAACTCTCAGTTTGATCTATTTATATATCAAACTATTTTTAATAAATTAGAAAATCAAGCATTTATATAGATAAAGAAATATTATATAATAATATAAATATGATTTTTAATAAATTATTAAATCTTGAATTACAAAGAAATTAATAGTATTAAGATTAATAATTATTAAGAAACTTCAAGTAAATCAAGAAAAAATAAAAATTTGATCTTAATATATTATAAAAAATAGAAGAAGCATTAAATCAAGTATAAAAGAAGCTTTATTAATCTCTTTAATAATATTGACAATTTGATATTAAGTTATCTTTTATAAGCTATTTATTGAATTCTTATATAAAAAATTTTGAATACTTAATATTTATACAATAAGTTGATAAATAAGAATTAATTTAGCAAGCTTATAATAATGAATTACATATTTTATTATTAAATTTTAACTTTTTTACAACTTATCAATCTATTATTAATGAATTCAGTATATATAATAATAATAATATCATAAAAAAGAAAAATTTAATGACAAAATATATAAAGTTATAAGTAATATTAGTCTTATAATTAACAAAATTGCTTAATATGATGATATAATCAAGTAATTCATGATGTAAATCCATCAAATTGGTAAAAAATCTGAAAAAATAATTATTTTATTCTTTATTAACTAGCTAAAAAATATCTTGAAATTTCTAATATCTCAATTCTTAATAATAGATATTTATAATTTAAATAAATTCTTTGAATTCATAAATTATTTATAAAATAATATTTCTTAAAAGAAATATTTATTTATTTAGTATTTTTTTTTCTTTATAATAATTAAGATAAGAAAATATATAATTAAAAAAAATTTAAATTTAATTACTAATCTTTTAAAAAAATTAATATAGACTTTTTTATTTTTTATTTGCTCTTATCTAATAATATAAATTAATATTAATATTAGCATAATAAATTTGAGTAATGATAATTTTGATTATTAAAAAAAATAATCAATTTTCATATAATTAATTATTATAATTAATTATATATATAATTACTTATATTTAAACTAATCTTTAAAAAGGAATATTTTATTTATTTTATTAATAAAAAGTATTTAATAAGTTACAAAATTAATTTCAAGTATTTAAATAAAATTAATTTTAAGTACTAGATTGATAAAATCTTGAACTGTTATAAATTAAATCAGATTTTAGATTAATTTAAAAGTTATTAATATTTTAGTTATAATAAAAAATAAAGTTATAAATTATATAATTTTTAGAGAATAAATAAATTATATATATATATGAAATAAAATTAATATTAAACAGAAAAAATTTAAAATAAATAAATATAAATAAATGTAAAAAACTAAAAAAATAGCTTTTATTCTAATAAAAGTGCTTGTAAAATTTTATTATATATACTTATATATATAAGAATTATTAGAATATTAAAGTATTAAAAAGATAAATATTAGAAATATTAAAATAGATATTTTAATTATATAATATAAAGAAAATATATTATTATATAATGCTATTATAGTTAAAATATCTTGAATATTAAGCTTCAAAATTATTTTATAATTATTTATTGATTAAAGTATTTTTATTCATAAAAATAATCTGATTCTAATCAAAATTTTAATATTTTTTTATTTATTATATTTATTTTTTCTAGTTATTTTTTATAAAAAAAGATTTTATAATTTTATTAATATATTTTTTTTTAGTTTCACAAAATATTATCTAATAGTTCTTATACTAATATTAATATCTTGTTTTTTATATTCTATTATATTTAAATATTTATTATATTATTTTTCTTTATTATTATTTTTATTATTTATTTATCTTATTTTATTATTATTATGTATTATGTATCTAAATTTTTTTGATTACTTAGATTCTTTGAAATCTTTATTTTTGAATTTAATTTTTTGTAATATTCTTAGTATAATCAATATGAATTATTATTTTTTCATAATTCCATGTAATTCTTAATTTTTTATTATTTATATAGAGAGAATAATATTTTTTAGATATAAAAATTAATTGATTATCTAAATTTTTATTTATATATTATATTAATTTATAATTATACAAATTATTAGAGTTAGTATCATTCTTGAATTTTAAAAATTTTTAAGAATTATTCTTGATTTCTGAAAATTTTGAAATATAAATACTTATACTTACTATTGTACTTTTAATTACTATTATAAAACTTTCTATTTTTAATTTTATAATATAGTTTTTTATTTAGATAACTCTTTATTATATAAAAAATCAAAAAAATAATTATCTTATCTAGATTATAAATTATATAATAAGTATAATTTTAATTTTTATTCTTATTTATTACTTAAAATAAGATAAATTTCTTATTAATAATATTTAAAAAAGAAGAGTATAATTAAAGTTAAAGTAAGACAGAATAATTTATAACTTTAAATATTTTGATACTTTTTTATAAGACTTTAAGAAAATATATATATATATATAATAATATTAAATAAATAAAATTATTAATATATATAATAAAAATAAATATTTATATTTTTATTATTCTCATTTTATTATAATAATAAATAAGTTACAAAATAAGTTCTTTATATATTTAAATTTATTTGAAATATTATTTTGATTAAATATAAAAATATTATATCAATTGGAATTTATATTGATCTTAAATAAAGATTCAACTGGTATAAATTACATTTAAATATATAATAAATTGCAAAAAAATGGCAATTGGTTTTTGATTATAAATAATTAAATAATTATTTAAATAATATAAATATTTATATATAGATTCTTCAATATTTAGAGAATAAAGTTTACTTATAATCATATACTAAAAAATCTTAGTATAATCTTTATAATTTATATTTTAAATTAAAAAAATTAATTAGAAAAACTTTATAAGAGAAATATAAAATATACAATTATAAAAATAATTTAATTATATTTTACTTTATTATATAATAACAAAGTATTGAATTTTTATTAAAATTTAATGATATCTTATTTATAATATATAAATAAAGTTACTAAAAATTAATTTTATAATAACTTATCAAAACTATTTCTAATTAATTTTTTCTAAATGATTTTGCAAGCTGATTTTTAATATAAAATACAAATTATGAAATATTTTATTAAGATTTTTATTTTATGGTCTTAAGTAAACTTTGTTCTCTAGATATTAAAGAGTATATATATATAAATAATTATATTATTTGAATAAATATTTAATTATTTATAATCAAAAAACTAATTGCCATTTTTAAAGAAATTAAAAGAGTTCCTAACAAAATTAAGAGAACTTGAGAAGTGATATGTTTTAAATAGTTGTAATACAAAATATTCAGTTCATATAAACTTTTTACCGAAGATAGGGTAAATAAACCAATAAAATCCTCGCTAGTTTTCTGGAATAGGATCCAATAATAAATTTGAACACTCTGTGAACATTATTTGGGTATCATAGGTCGACATCTCTTTATAGATAACTAATACACGTTCACCAAATAAATGGTCGTTCACCTGTTACAATTTCGTATAGTACCATCCCAAAACTATAAATATCTGCTGCTTTGGCGTATGGTTCAATTTAGAACCTCTGGGTACATATATAAGAAAGTAGATTTTTCTATATTTGCTCGAAGATTATGTAAAAAATCGGCAATTCGAGTATGCCCAACATTGATATATTTCAGAATGCAAGTCACGATGACAAATTTCTGTGCATGAATTTTTGTTAGCTCTTTGACGATACATGTATCAAATAAATATTTTAATTTTTTGATTCCAAGTAGTTGGAATTAATATCGATATATTTACGAAAATCGTCATATTCCATCACTATCGAATATTTATTTGTAACCAGGTTTCAGTTATTCCATGATATCTAAGTGCAGCTGAAACCATCCTTTACCTCGTTTATAAACTCCGGGGTAATTTGCTCGGAATTGTGAAATGTTTTCAACAAAACTTCCCTTTTTCCCTATCGGGTAAATTCATTTTTCTTATAATCCAACCAGATTGCTTAATAATTAAGACAGGTCATAGCATTAATAGTTTATTATAATTTCAGTTTTGACATTTTATTGTCAGTCAAACTTCATGAATTTTGGCAAGCATCCTTAGCTGAAATATGTGAGTATGATTATGCTTTAATAAGCTTCACAGACAAGAATAAAATATTTTGTAATAAGTAGTGTTGGAAGGGTTATTAGATATTAAGAGATATTAATAGTTTAATATCTATCCTATTATCTTTTATTTAATAAAAAAAGCTTTACAAATAATAATGCGAGATTTATAAATACAAAGATAATATGGATATTTATTATTTAATAAGTTTTTTAAGAAATTCTATATATAAAAAAATTCATGATTTTAGTAATTATAGAGATTTTTGACTATATAGAAAATTTTTCCTAAGGAACTTAAGAATATTAATAAAAACATAACTATAATTATATTGTAGGAGATGACTATAGAGGGTGATGGCTGTACTATTATCTGGTTCTATCATTGCTTTTTATAGCTAAGAGCCTTAAACTCTTAACAATTATTTAATCAATTTGATTACAATAACTTGTATATTTTTTATATTTTTTGATTATTAATTAAATTCATAAGCACAATGGAGTTTGGTGATTAAGTAATTAAATAAAGGCAGTTTTGTATACAAGTAAGCGATTATATGATATAGAACTTTAAAGAACACTTTATTTGATCTTTTGTAACTATGCTATAGTCAACTCTCCTTAAATGTAATCTGTAGGATCACAAATCTATAACTTTGCATTTAGAAACTAATTAGAAAATTGAGTTTATGGAGAGTTAATATATAAAAATCTTATGATTTAGAACCAAGCCAAAGCTTACATTTAGAGAAAATGTGCATTTAGAGAGGTGGCAGGGAGAGTTAACTATATATACATTCCGTTGCTTTATTACAGAATAATTTATTGGATAAATTAATGAAGAAGATATTGGATAAATTATTGGAGAGAATTTTGGAGAAATGATTAGAGAAACGATTAGAAATCTTCAAAATAAAGATGCATCGAAAATGGAATTCGATGCTACTTGGTTAAGATTTTCTTGCACTATGCCAAAATTTTCGTCATGGGATTTCCCATTGCGGTGCCAACAATATCTCGGCAGTTGATGATATCGTTTTATTTGTCTCAACTAGAGGAATCGAATTATATTAATTTTGTTTTACTATTATTCTATTATGGATTAAGCAACAATAAACTGAATAATTTGTATTTTCAGTATTATGACATTAACATATTTTAAAGAATTTGAACAAACAGAAATTAAATAAACTTGATGAGACAATGGAGACGCAAAACAGCAGTATGTTTAAAAAATTTAATTTCACCGATATAGCTACATTTGTTTCGAAATATAACTAAACGAAGCTAAAACTATCGGTGATACATTTTTCAAAAAATGCCATAACATCGATATATTAAAATACTTGTTTCTCATATAACTTTAGCATACGTAACTAAGCACCCCTATAATATATTGTTGGAAATCCCAAACGAATCTGTAACTTTGAAATCTAATATCACAAATTCCAGCGATCTTATTGAAATGAAGCATTCGTGATAATATACTTCATTTCAATGGGATTACTGAATTTTGAGATATTGGGTTTTAAAGTGAAAGATTCGTTTTTGGAATTTCCGGTAATTTATCGATGCCAGACCTATAAATGCAGTAATGGTAAAAATTCCGAAGAACAATATTCCCGAACGTTCATAAGTCCGAATGATCGAAATACCGAATGAACGACCTCCAGAATGATAGAAATATCGAATGCACAATGGTTGGAATCCCCAATCCTTGAAATCCCGAACGAGCGAAATCTCGAATTACGGAATCCCGAAAGATCGAAATCCCGATGAATGCATAGAATATTACAGCTGTTTTCATTCTAACTGGGACAGCTGATTAAAAAGTTAACCGAATAAATATTTGCTGATTCGATAAGTTTTTAATTCGGCAGTGATAAACTTTCGATTTGAGCATGATTAGTAATATACAACGATATATATATATATTTTAAAATTTCTACGATGTCAACACATTTAAAATTAAGCTTTCGCTTGAATGCATGCCCAGTATGTTTGGTGTGTTTAATCTGTACGAAAATTTATAGCAAAGATTGTTCTTGCCAACCAATCAAAAAACATAAAAAAGGTTCCGAATATTTCATAATAAGATAAAATAATTATATATATCGATCATTATCAAAATCACAAAGTTTTATGATATACTATTATATATCGATATATAGATCATTACCGAAATCACTAACTTATCGAATCGGCAATATTTATTCGGTCAAATTTTTAATCAGCTGTCTCAGTTAGAATGTAAACAGCTGCAATATTATTACGAATTCGAGATTTCGTGTCGTTCATTCGGGATTTCGATATTCGGGATTATGAACGTTCGGGATTATGCTATTCGGATTTCGTACTAATTTGTATGTTCCAAACAAAGCAATATTATTTTCATTTTCATTGGTATATCAATGAAATCAAGAAAGAAAAGATCGAAAAAAATTCAACAATGAAGACATTGTGCTTTTTTTTTTTAGTAAAGTGATAACTTACTTTTTACTTTAATATATGTATCAATATCAACTACTGTTTACAGAACAACTAATTAATTGTACTCATGTTTATTTAAAATAATTACATGTACATGTACTTGCCTATTCACGACTGATAATATTAATTTCATACATGCACATGGAGCAAAATTGGATTAATGTTAATACAATGTATACATGTACAAAATTACGTAATGGCCAATCTATAGCGATAGCCTATTTTTTTATCGGAACACACATGTACAGTTCATGTATTAAATTTTAATCTACACACTTACAAAATTACATACGGTTTTTACATGTATTTGAAATTTCAAAAGCTCGTTTTCAGTTTTCAATGGAAATTTCATAATTACGAACGCACTCAAGTAATTTTATTACAAACATATTTTTCCATCAATACGGTTTAAAGCAAGTTCCAATTCTCAACTTCATCTTTCACTATATTTTAGAAAATTCTGGTTTTAAGTTTAATAACCTAGACTAGATTATACAATAATATTCGTTCGTCTACGTTACCAAAATCCAAACTTTCCTGATGTATAAATCCAATATAAATATTTTTATTAATCGAGTGGCCAAATACATGTAGCGGTAGTACATGTGATGTCTATTGAGAAAAGAGATGGATATACATGTGATGTCTATTGAGAAAAGAGATGGATATACATGTTGTATTATTCGTGCCTAGCAAAGGTCGGCCGGTTTAACTTCGAATTTGTCTAGTATAAAGTATATTTTAAGTTCTGAATTTGAAACCACACTAATGTATTTCGCAGAGTTTGAAACAACAAGCATTAGCGTGTCCGCATTTAGAGATAATCCATCGGTTTACATAGTCAAAACCCGTTAAACCGAACCCCTTCAAGCTGAGGACTTTTGAAACAACCCGTCAATCTGAAGACCCCTGGTAATATGAAGAAAAATAACAGCACAATCGTCTTCGGTTTAACGGGGTTGACTGTAGTATAAATTTAGTAAATGCGATGAACTCGACAAGTTGTGTTTTATTGAATTAATTTTGAACTTAATCTAAGAAAGTCTCAATTGTATGCTTTCTTAACAGATGGCAAATGCTAAATTCAACCTAAATGCATTGCAATTTCTTATAGATAGCTACGGAATTCGAATGACTCCAAATTGTATGCAACCTACGGTGGCACCGCATTTTTTCAGCATCCAAATGTGGCATCAAACAACTAAACTCTAAAACACCTATCCCATCTAACATATAATGAGACATATTTGACATTTATATAAATAAGTTTTAAAATCTATAGTCATAAAACTTTGGTGATCGGGAAACATTATTTTCGGTTTAGATTGATGAGGGAGATTTGCTTTGTATTATACGTTTCAGTTTGTCGGAATACGAATTCTAAAAAAATAAACAACAGCTGCGTCTTGGTGCTGCCAAAAATTTTGACGCGATGATATGCTCTAATAGAACAGAATCCTTTTCTTGTTGTAAATAACGAACATGTATTTTTTTTATTAATACATTCCTCAGCTACAATATGATTTGACTAAAAAAGCAAAAGTTCGAATAGTATCATTTATACGCAGTATATGATCTATTCCTCAGGATACAAAAGTTACATAAAATCAAAAGTTTTATTGAATTATATAAAATCATCGATAGATACTTATGAATATTTATTCATTTAATGTGGCATCTGATGCTTTGAAGATTAGAATTTGTTTTATATTTTGTGTTTTTCGTACATGTACATGTTGTATTTCGGATATACTGTACACGGGCATTACAAAGGTAAGGTAATACATGATTATTAAACTTTTTTTTGAGGTATACATGCATATATGTAATGTATTATCATATGTTCATCGTCATTATCCCCAATACGTGATCATATCAGATATGTAAAAGGCAACAAGCAACAAAATAACGTGCCCTTTTAACTTTTTATAATTAACGTTTTATGGGAGACAACGAAAATTGAACTGATTACTCATTATTGTTAAAAAAAATTTTGATTTTGCTCTTATATTAGTTTACTACGGCGACGATCTGGTTATGTGTTGATACTTTAAATAGAATGGTATTTGCATATGTATAAAGATAGAAATATGATTGATTCCGTTTTTGACAATTTTTCATTATTTTCGTCTAAAAATACTTGAATGCACGTGTTTTGTGTTTCGTTCATTAATACATTAATACATTATCTTGTCTCCTTATTAATTAATTTATCCGACACGGCACATACACGGCACAGTGAACACAGATCTAAACAAACAAAAGGCGCACATCGTACTGCCAACGAATAACCCCACTAGAAACCGCAAGTTTTTTTGGCCAAAAATAGTAAACCAAGTAAAAATATGAAGGGGGGATCTACAGATCCACAAAATATACTGTGTAATATATAATACAGTACATCATGATATAGTGTTCTATTTTAATACATCTAATAATTTGATTTAATTTTATGTCACACCATAAAAATGGCAAGCTGTTCACATATAATTGGGATTTGATCTCATTCTTTTCTCCCTCCTTAGAAAGCATTTAACTCTTTTGGGTGATTTCTTCGATACCACATAATTAATAATCATTCTTGTCCGTATCTTTTTCACAATTTAAAACAGACACCACCATTCAAACCCAGACCTGCATTTCCATAAAGATGCCTTCAACCATGAACAATATTAATATTGACAGTAGCAACATCGTGATCATTGACAATAATAACAATGTCAAAAAGAAGCGAAATATTTTTCAGAAAAGTGGATCGAAAATTGCTTCAAAAAGTAAAAAGTTTTGTCGTCTGTTTAATGGGAATTATATCTGCAAAGGGAAAAGCAAAAAAAATACCAGACAACCATCAACGTTAGATGTTCAGATGGTGCAAGAAACAAAAGATATGAGAACTGCTGTTTCATATCAAGGATTTAATCCTACATATCCAATACAACCAACTCAAGTCCCTATTATTGATATCAATAATGACGTTAACGTTAACGCTAACAATTCTGATGTTACTTGTTGTAATTACGATAATGTTAATGATAATAGTATTTCCAATAATCTAAAAACAAACATAATCCAACAAACCAATAGAATATTAGACGAAACAATTACTTCCATTAGTGACAATAACCTTGTAGCCATTGACTCCACCACTACTGAATATCAATTAACAGCCTACGATATTGCATGGGCTGCAATGATCCCAACTCCTAAATACAAACAAACCAAAGATCCCAGAGATTTCATGTTGTCGTTCCCTGAATGTTTTCGATGGCTGGTGAATTATCAGGATCTAAAAGGAAGTTGGGGAAAGATCGGCGTGAAAAGTATTGTTCCCTCCTTATCGTCACTTTTGTCGCTTAAATTTTTTAGAGCTTGTGCGGGTGAATATTTCCAAGAAAAATTGGAAGATATCGGAATTACAACTGTAAGTTATATTCTATTGCTACTGTTGATATAGTAGTAAGCAAATCGTATAATGCTAAAAATTATCTTGATTTTTATAGGATCATTTTCAGCAAGTGGTTGCAAAAGGCGAAGCGTTTCTTCGTAAAACGTGAGTTTCTATATTTGTCTAAATGAATTTTTGCTCATACGCACAAAAAATTATCTAACATCTTTTTTGACCTCTTATCAACAACAGTCTAAAAAATTGGAATATCGACGACAACCAGCCTATCACTTCATACGAAAAAATGATCCTATATTATCTTGAGGAGCTTGAAAAATTCAATCCACCCATCACTTTTGATTTTCCATCAAAACAAAAACTAAGAAATAATAATCTCATCAACAATGACATAAATAAGCCATTATTAACAAATGATACTAATCATCGATCATTATTTAACATTAATCCTGACTATATTCCAATAGAGACATTAATGAGCATAGTGTCCCTTCCTCAATCTCATTCTCCAGATTTCTTTATTCTTCAGAACAATTATCAGACATCACCAGCAGCCACCGCTTCTTATTTAATCTTAGCTCCGTATTGGGATCAGGAAGCATTCGGATTGCTTCAGAATTCAGTTAACAATTGGAGAATAGTTCTTGCGACAATTGGTCAAAATATTAAAACTACATCCACACCCTATTATGATTTCGAATCTTGTTTTGTGATCGAATGTCTTGGTGAATTAATTATGGACATTGATAGTGCATCACCAAATGACAATAATTTTTCACCATCATTTTATCAAGAATGGCAAATGAAATTCGAAGACACTGTTAAATATCTAAGAGATCAGCTCGAAGAACAAGATGGTATTTTCTTGACGAGAACTCCTCATAAAGATAATAAATCCCTATATGAGATCAATTGTACCGCACTCGTCTTACGCTTGATTACACAATTTGATCCGTTAAATCGTATGGAAGTTGAACCGTTTATCCAATCGTTTTGGAATGGAAAATACTTTAGTCACCTACTCAATCACAATCAAAAAGTTACGTCGACTATATACAATGCCCACGCGTTAACTATTCTGTTGATAGAACGTGAAAAGTTGAAAACCCAAAAAAAATACAGGATCTCTTATGAAGTGGAGACAGCCCTCGGAAAACAAAGCTTCAACCTCGACTATCTAATCAACAGCACAATATTATTCATCCAGTCACAACGCACCGAAAACTTTGTTTGGTTGGATGACGCGCCACACGCTACGCCATGGTACACCACGATGCAGACCATAAAAACACTTTTATCACTTGTCGAGCATCCACGAACCCTTGTCTCAACCTCTTTCAAGAACAAACCGTCGCTTATGGCATATTGTCGCTCAACTATTGATCATGCGCTCGCCACACAGCATCCAGACGGTAGCTGGGGAGAAACTCCCGCGTATGACGCGCTAGGAAATCTAGAGGAAACGAGTTACGTCGTACGATTGTTGAAAATCGCGAATGAATATTGGGCATCAGATCATGCATTAATGAACGCGCTTGCAAGAGGATGTGATTATCTTCTTCGACATTTTGATGCTGCAATGAATGATCCCAGTTATTTTTATAATTGTGAGCCTCCGCTTTGGGGAAATTATATGGCGCAAAGATTGATCCGTGCGTCGATACTTTGCGCACTTAGTGATCCATCTTTAAAAAACAAAGAAGATAATATTGATAGTTATTAAACAGTTCTTTACTTTTTATTCTTTAGTTATATTGTAAAATAGTTGCTGTTCGCCTTTTTTTTTTCTTAGCACAATAGATTTTATTTTTTGACTTTAATGTAAATAGTTTTCAGTTGTAATATATATTTCACTAGATTGAAATGAAGTTTACATAAATGGGTTAACTCGCGTTAACACAATGCAACTTTATCTTCTATTTATAATACACACTAATAAAGCATTATTCTTGCCAAAAAAAAATATAAACTTAAAGCATATTTTTACGTTATATATAAACTTTGGCTTTAAATAGCGACATTGATAGCAACTGTGCGCGATGTATCCGTTGACTGATCGTGTATCGAATTATGCACAGCCTCCTGAAAAGTGATGACGGTGAGTTTCTTCATAAAAGAAGAAACTTTTCATAATTATTGAAAATTTACCTGAAATGTCTCTAAGTAAGGCATTCTACCCTAGTTGTTCTTCTATGTCAATCTGGAATTGAATGCAGGATGAAATATTAAAAATGCCAGTAACTTTTGTTTCTCGTAAGCTTTAATGTTGTGCTTTTTATTTCTTTCTTTTATAATAGTATTTTTCTAATATAAAAGTTTATGCTGATAGATAAAAGCTCGTTGACACAATAAATTTCAAATTGCCAGTTAAAGTGTTTGCCAGTTAAAGTGTAGAATCTTAACGTTATTCACTAAATTTTTATGCTTGAACCATATGTGTATGTATTTTTCTTTCATCAGCCTTTTTTTTGAGGAGGCTAATTATCCATGTATCAAAAAAAATTATGCTGCTGGGTCCTGTACGTATCCTGAGAGAAATTTAAAGCAGTCGATAGGGATCTACTGCAAAATTCGGAAAATCATGAATTTAGAATTCTTCTTCGAATTATATCGACATTGTAATTTAAACTCGCTATGTTATTAAATCTCCAAATATCAGAGTTGAATTTGATATTTAAATGATCTATTCATTGTGATGCATTGAACTTAAAGTTATATTATGCGGGAACGTTCTTTAACAATATATAATCGTCAATATATTTTTGCAATAGAATCGACGGAATTTTTTTATATACTGTATATTAATAATAATGATTCTATCATTTTTAAATTACATGATGAACTTTTACTAATGACTTGAATATTTTTATGCAAGTAAGATAATACCAGAATTTAAAATTTGTAATAAAAAGTATTTTTAGTAACGTACTAATTTAGAACAGGTATCGTTACGTAATCACTAATACATATTTTCTAGAATTTTTATAGCTTTTCTGTATTGTAGATTTTTATAGAAACATGTGGGATCTTATCGTTATAAATTATTTACGTGGTTAGCTTTAAACTTAATATTCATTATCAATAACTTTAGCATTTCTGATACATACTTGTATATATTTAATCAATATAACAAATATTCTTGGCATTGTACTTAATCTAATATAGTTAGAAAAATTTAACGTTGATTCTTTCAAATGTTTTGTGTATGGATTGCTATTAATAAAAACATGAACTTGACCTGCTTTTTCTTACTCTAAACTTTCAAATCATATTCAGATTAGAGTGTTCAATTTATTGCAAATGCGGAATTTGCAGAATCCATATATGGTTTATAATAGGTCTCTACGAAATTTTAAACCAATTACATGTACATGATTACTATTTTAGATGACAAAAGACATCATCGTTATCAAAAGAATCTATTAAAAGATTAAATTTACAAAATTTAATTTGTATGTTTTATTTAAAACTCGAAAACCGGATGATCAAAACTTTAATAAAGTTGGTAACTTGAGAACGCGATATCTGACAAATCGAATAGTTCTATTTTCATCCAAATTGGACTGTTGAACGTCGAGATATCGCGTATCAGGTTAAGGAATTTTTAATTTGTTTATCATAATGATCTAGTTTTCGGTGGCAGAAATGCAGTAAACTGGACACTCTAGATATCAAAGAACTGATCTAATACTAAATTACATGTAGTGTGAAATTTTCAGATTTCTGACATGATTCCGCATAAAAATGAAAACTTTCATGAAAGTATCCTAGCGTTAGTTATATTCAAATTAGTCAAAAATAAACAGGTTTCAGATAAACACATGCTGATTATTATCGTTATATGATTCTGGTTCAAATTTTGAAAAAATTTATTGAATCTTGCGATGGTTATGATGATTTTTTATTCTTATTTTTATTATTATTTGCTGTATATCAATAATACAGAAATTAGAGCTTGGAATAGTTTATCCGCAATGCACAACCTTCTAAAACCTGAAATTGAAAATAATTTCGTTAGATAAAATATTTAGAAATAAACGAGAGGCATTCATGAAAATCGAATTAACTGAAAAAAAATTCTTTTACTTCAAATTTTTTGCATTTCCAAATCGATATTAAGATTTTCGAATACGTATTATCAGGGTAGATACCAGCAATTGAGGACTTTCTATCCATACAAATTACTAGAAAATTTTAAAATAAATTAAGGATATTTAGCTTTTTTACAATGTTGTTATCAGTCATAAACATTTTCAAATTTTTTTCTAGCGTGATAAAGAATGATTATATTTTGAACACGATCATTTTTGTTAGAAATTCTAGAAATGAAAACTAGAATATTTACATTAAGATAAAAATGTGAACAAACATAAAATATACTATTTTAAAATTTGGAACTAACTTTTTACAAATAACCACTATACGTTACACGTTATGAAAATAGGTTTTTTGACAAAGAAATAAATGACAAATTCGTGCTATTTCCGTGTTATCGTTCTTGAAATGTGTTTTGTATACTGAATTCACACTTTTCCTGTGATTGCAAGGTCCATTCCGATATTTTATGTGTATGCCTTTTTTATGATCTGAATCCTGAAGGTGGCTGCGGTAAATTCCTTTTATAGTCGTAATGAGGCTGAATTATGAATGTTAGAAATAGCTAGAACAATAAAATTTACGAATTATGCGTTTATTGTTGTATTGAAAATAAATATTTGTCTTTTGAAAACTATTTTGCTACTTGCATATGTTATAATTAATTGGCACAATCAAATAATGGTACGATAAATGCAATCAGATCCTCCCTAAATGCAACTTGTTTAGACCAAACCTTTTGACACCCTGCATGCAAGAAAGTTGCATTTACGAAGGTTAAGTATATCTTTGGGTCAGAGCTTGAAGTTGCATTAGGAAGGTCTGACTGTACATGTAAATGTATTAAATAACAGATTGGCGTTGATGCATGCTGCACTAGCATTGGATTACTATTACTAACGTTAAATTTATTAATTTGGATGAATGCAAACTTTAATTACTTCTTTTTTACATATAGAATTTTAATAATTCTAGAGATTATAAGGATATAGAGAGCGTTTTTCAAAAGAATTAATAAATTTTTTCTCTAAAAAATATAAAATAGCATTTCATTAAAATTTTATTAAAAGCTCTTCATATGCTGTAGAATTTGTTCTCATAGAATTATTGATTATTTTAAAAATTAAAATTTGTTGATCGTTCATTATAAACAATAATGGTATTATACATGCATTTCTTTATCTAATAAATTTTCTTTTACTAATTCCTTAATACGCATAAATACGAGTAAATATGAAAATGTATTTTTGAATATTATTGAAAGAATTCTAATCTCTATTTGATACAATATTAATTATCATTACGTGAGCATTAGTTAATATTTATAGCTCAAAAGCCCAATTTGAATTCTATATTTGAATTTTGAGAATATCGTTATCATAAATTTACGCTCGTTTTGAACTCTAAGTGTTGTTATAATTTATTATCATTATATACGTATTATATTCTTGGTTGTTTAAGTACAGTAATTGTGGATGGATGAATATAAGTAAAAGGAAATGTTGTACACAGTAATTCATATATGTAACAAATTTACTTTATTTTTAATTTCATCATAGGTTTTTGTAAACACATATCATTTAATGGCATAAACGAATTATGTGTGAATATGGGATATTAATTTATGTAAATTAAATGTACTTACCATATTTTCGCGAAATAACGTGTAGGATGTAATTTCGGATTTCGGCCTGAATTAAGTCTAATGCGGGCTGTGATTCGAAATAACGCGCGTGGCGTTATTTTGCGAAAATACAGTATATTAATTAAAATTGAAAACTAAAGATAAGAGCAAATAAATTTAACCATAAAATTTAGGGATGATTCTAGTGAATTTAGCATAACAAAATAAAATGTACTTTAAATTTAATTGTGCACATACAAACACATCACAATCTTTGACAGCTAAAAAAAACATAAAACAAAAAATTAATTTAGGTTATATTGTCATATTGTAACAATATTATTAACAGATAAAGATACCATCAGAACCTTTCTAAAGACGCACATGGTCTTAATACAGTGTGTAAAGAAATTAATGGCAAAAAAATCGCGCAGACTTAAAATCGCTTAACTCTTCCAAAAATAAACAAAATCACGTAAAATTGGTTTTGTTTTGATCACAAAAACACGCGCTTTATTTTCTATTAAATAGCACAATGTCCTTTAGGCATTACATTTTTAACAAAATTTTAACAAAATGACAAGCTCCAATTTAAAGACCCAGCAAGAAACCATATTACATTTTTGGAACATAGGAGTCCGTTCAGCTAAAGATATTCACAAAGCAACACAGATTCCAATGCGTACTATTTATAACAACTTAAAAAAATTGGATAAAATTGGATAAATTTGGTAGTGTAGACCGCAAAAAAGGAGCTGGTCAACCTAAGAAAATCACTCCTAATATTGCATGATATATCGGTCAGAAAATTCTATAATTTCTTTGCATATCATAAAAACTAAATTGGCTCAGAAAGGTGTACAGGTCTCCCACACTATGATTGCAACACATTTGATAGCCCTCGGGTTAGAGATGTGCCTATGCGCATAGCTACTAACTGATATCGTAAATGCCCATACACAATTATGCATATGGTTAAGTTCATAAATCATCACCAATTAAGG